AGAAGTGACACTGTGGCTCAAGTGGTAGAGCGCTAGCCTTGAGCTGAAGAGCTGAGGGCCAGCGCCCAGGCCCAGAGTTCAGGCCCCACGACAGGACCAAAAAAAAAAAGAAGTGCACTGTCAAGAAAGAAAAAAAATGACTTAAAAGAGTGGTACTAAGCGGGGTATCAGTGGCTCATACCTGTAATTCTAGATCACCGTTCAAAGCCAGCCAGGGCAGGAAACTCTTTGAGACGCTTATCTCTAATAAACCACCAGAAAACTGGAAGTGGCGCTGAAGCTCAAGTAATAGAGTGATAGCCTTGAGCTGAAGAGCTGAGGGATAGCACCCAGGCCCAGAGTTCAAGCCCCTCGACCAACCTCCCCACCCCCACCCCCCAAAAAAAAGAGTGATACTAAAGTTTCTAGTATTGAAATTGTAAAAGTCACTGAGATATGTTCAGATCTGTGGAGGTTTCACCAGCCATCATCATGCTGTTTTATTTCAGGGTTTGTTTTCTTCCTTAACAATGTTTAAAGATCAGGACTTGGCCTTTTTTGTACTGTCAGTACCTAAAATATTTCCTAGCACATAATTAGTGCTCCCTAATACTAAATATTCAGTTCTGTGTCAGGAATAGTTCTCTCTGCTTCTGTACAGTGTGGTTTGGATGTGGCACCCCAAACTTCATGTAGTAAAACATTCTTTTACCCCACATTAATCCACCTCTCACTAAACTTCCCCCCGCCCCACATCACCATTCAATAGTACTGACAGGAACTAATCAAATTAATGTCCATAGCCAAGGAGCAGCTAATTTCCCTGAGAGTAGGCTTTCACCTGTGATCTCCAGCCCTTCCGCTGCCACTATGCTAAGACCCCTACCAGATGCTAGCACTATGCTACAACCCCCATGACCCTGAGCCAGATAAATGTCTATTGTTACAAACTATGCAAGTCTGTGGTATTCTGGCACCAGAAAACACACGCATGCCCTTAATTTAGGCAGTCATCATTTTCCCCACTTGAAGAAGTCACAATGGTTAAGTGATTTACCCCAGGTCTCACAATCACTGGCAGAAGTAAGACTATAGAGATGAGAGACACAGAGACCACCACCACACTGAACCGTGCAAGGTGACTACTGACAGCAGCAGAGAAACCTGAGACAGACACACTAACAATAAAGCCTCAAGGCCTCCAAGAAACAACCTACCTTAAATTAAAAAAGGGCTGCAGATGTGGCATGGTCCTTGGCCCTGGGTTTTCTCCCTAGCACTGACCAAGAAAAGAATATAAAATTAAGCTGATTTATCTTGCTAATTAAAAGTAAGCGTTATCTTTTGTTTTTGTTTTGTGCAGATAGTGAGACTTGAACTCAGAGTCTTACACTCTCACTTGACTTTTTCTGTCTGATCCCAGTAGGGAAAAGCCACCACATCAGCTTTACGTACACAGATCAACCCATTTTATTTGTGACTCTTGCTCCTTTTTAAGAATATGCTGCACAGTCTTTAAGCCCATGGCAGACAGTCCAATCTTCCCAACAGGAAGGCAGACAGTAAGGAGACACAGTCGCTGACAAGAGGGGTTATTCACATCACAATCTGTTAGACAGCCTGCAAAGCTGTATACTCAATCTTTAAGACTTCCTAATAACTTAAAGCCAGTAACACATTTTAATATTTCAAGTTGGCCATATATGGCCCTGAGCAAAAACATTTCTAAACCTTTCTATTAATCATCCAGCCCACAAACTGTTAGTCACTGTCTTTCTTGGTCCCTTTGGTACAGTGTAAAAAAAAAAAAAAGTGATAAAAGACAGAGAGGAAATATTTTAACCATGGTATTTCCATTGGTGCTAACATTGTTTTGAGTTTTACAAACTAACCCTAGACTAGGGAACAAAGGACACTTCCCTACTATTTAGGATAAAATATTGGCTTCCTATTATAAAATCATGGTCCCAATGGTTTTCCTAACTATACAATAAGGAGCAAAAAACCTCTGACCTTGGTTAGCGGATAAAAAAAATACATACCTATTATAAAGTTACTTACTTGGCTGATTAATCTCCTCAAACCCCAAAATAAACTCTGCTCATAAGTAAATTATTACATGAATAAAGCCTTGCCCTGTTCTATCACTTGCTTAAAAGCAAGCATGGTGGCAATGGGAGAGAGATAAAAAGAAACACAATCAGCCAAATCTGTAAAGCCTTCAGTGTAAGATAAACTGCCCCGCAGGAGCAGCCAGTGCACGGAGCTAACAGCTGTACACAGCTGCACTAATTAAAATGAAAAGCGAGTCCGCATAACACACAGGCAACTCACTGAACCTTACTGACAAGCAGAACAGGATACACCACACTCTTCCATATCTTAGGGAACAATGTAAAAAAATAAAAATAAAGCAGTCTATAGTTGAAATTACACACACACATACATCCTCTTCCTGTCCATTCCCCTTCCCCCATTTCTAGCACTTCAGAAATAATCACAGCCAGGCAGACTGGAATATCTTCTATAGGCTATAAAAACACATGCACACACAAAGGAAGTGGTACAGCAACATTACATCAGCTCTGGTCTCAATTCATAAATGCAAAACCACAAAATAAGAAAAAATCTAAAAGGCCTTTTTTTGGAAACGGTAGAGTGAATGAATGTGGGTTAAGTGTTTAAATATCCTATTGAACAGACCATGTCGATGCATCACTTTCTTCAGCCACCGGGAGGGGAAAAGTGTAATTCTGTCATGCAAGGAGATCAAATAACATTTCAAGTGCAAGCCTGCCAAGCGCCAGCGCCAGGCTGAGCACAATGAGCACTCGAGGGTTCTGGACTGAAAATCACCTTTCACTACACCCAGAAACCCTTACAAAATAGTTTAAACACTACTAAATTACAGCCTTGGGTTAAGACAAATACAAGCTAACCAGTGCCCCCACGCTGTTAAGAAGTTGCTCTTAAGCAAGAAACATGCCCTTGTGTTATTTTCTGAGGCAATGGAAAGATTCAGAAAGGCAGCTGCCTTTTAGGGCTTGCATCCACACAGCTTCAAAAATGCAGATCAGCTGTGCTTCTGGAAGTGATTGCCCACAGAACAACGGCCCCACAGAGGGTATTGCTCCCATGTGTAAGCTTTCAAATCATGTCTACTTCACGTTTGCAGTTCCCAGAAGAAAAGGGGAGAGGAAAGGGGCCAGAAGTTGATGCCATGCTCTTGGCACAGAAGGCTAAGGGCTTGGTTAATGCTGTTCTGAGCGTTTCCTGGATCTTGAACCCACTGGCATCTATTTCTCATGGAACATGCACTCTCTCGGCTGACCCGGCGCTCGCTGCTGTGCCACTTTGTGGATTTTCCATATGGCTGGGAGGCCTCCAGCCAAACAATGCCCGCAGAGCAGTGGCACATGTGTGCCTAGGAAGCTTGCAGGCAGACAAAGTCACCAACTCGCTGAGCTGTTCTCAGCCAGCAGCAAGTGGCCGGGCAGGTCTCCCCGGGCTGCAGAGGGAGCCGCGGGCGCCGCACCGCCTGGGTGTTTTTGAGAATTCAAGCCTGAAGCAAGCTTTTCCAAGACTTTCCTACACTGAAGCTACTCTGGCAAAACAACTTTAGCCCAAGAAGCAAAACTGTAATCGACACCCTTACGGAGCCTGTTCCATCTTCCTTCCCGGCTTAAATTTACTCCCCAGTAAGTAACAAAGTTTCAGCTGCAGCGGCTCCTTCCGTGTTACACTCGGTCAGCTTCCAAAGAACAGCCCACGCGGCTCTCACAGCTGCTCGCTGCCCCCGAGATCCCGCCCGGCGTGTTCACTGGAACCCCAACCGAACAGCCGGCGCCCCGTTCCTGGAAGGCCCCCGGGCGCCGCCGCCCGCCCGCCCCCCCGC